ACCGGCCCACAGACAGGGAGATGCGCCCGCCGGCTGGGTGAGGGAGGAGAGAGGACCCAGCGGAGCTCTTACAAGCAGCTCCGCCGGTCCTCTCGCGGGATTCTGAGCGTTGCTGTGGCAACGCTCAGATCTCGCGACAGTGAACTCTAACCTCCAGGTTAGAGTTCACTCTCACCACTGGACCACCAGGGAAGGCAGCATGGCTCCCACCTCCCCAGGCATAACGGATCTCCTCCTCCCCCTCCCAGGATAAAGGTAAGAAGGGAGGGGGGGGGGGAATAATTTTTTTTATTTTTATTAGTAAAAAAAAAATATTTAAATTTACATAAAAAATACATTCACTCACACACACAGCACCCCCCAGACACAGCACCCCCCATACACAGCCCCCAGACACACACAGCACCCCCCATACACACACAGCATCCCCCAGACACACACAGCACCCCCAGACACACAGCACCCCCAGACACAGCATCCCCCAGACACACACAGCATCCCCCAGACACACACAGCGCCCCAGACACAGCCCCCAGACACAGCATCCCCCAGACACACATAGCACCCCCAGACACACATAGTACCCCCCAGACACAGCAGCCCCCTGACCCCCAGACACACACAGCACCCCCAGACACAGCATCCCCCAGACACAGCACCCCCCATACACACACAGTACCCCAGACACAGCCCTAGACACAGCACCCCCCTCAGGACACAGCCACAGCACCCCCAGACACACAGCCCCTGACACACAGACCCCTGTACACACATAGCACCCCCTAGACACAGCTCCCCAGATGAGCACCCCCCAGACACACAGGCTGAAAATTCCCCAGACATACACAGTAAGTTCTAGACATACACACACTGCGCCCAGACACACACACTGCACCCAGACACACACTGCGCCCCCAGACACACACTGCGCCCCCAGACACACACACTGCGCCCCCAGACACACACACTGCACCCAGACACACACACTGCGCACCCAGACACACACTGCGCACCCAGACACACACAGCACCCCCCAGACACACACAGCACCCTCACTCACACACAGCACACTCCCACACATATACAGCACACACATATATATATATATATATATATATATAAAATAACCCTCAGTGAGTTAACAGACAAAGAAAATTAGAAACCTAGAATGTGACCGCAGATAAAAACACCCTCACACACAGCACCCCTCTTACATACACACACTGCGCTCCTCACACATACAATAAGTCCGAATATATATATATACATACACACACACACACAGCACCCCCCATACACACACAGCACCCCCCAGACACACACAGCGCCCCAGACACAGCATCCCCCAGACACACATAGCACCCCCAGACACACATAGTACCCCC